ACAGCTAAGTTAAATGGGACCTATAATTCTAGTTTTTTGAGGAATCTCCACACTGATTTCTACAGAAGTTGCACGAGTCTAGATTCCTACCAACAGTGAAGTGTTCCTTTCTCCCAACAGCTCTGCCAGCATTTGTTGTTGGTTGATTTCTTGATAATAACCATTTTTTCTGCGTGAGATGGAATCTCAGTGTTGTTTCAATTTGCAACTCTCAAATGACCAGTGATGCTGAACATTTTTTCATGTATTTATTTGCTGTTTCTACTTCATCTGAGAAGTGTGTATTCATTTTAGATGCCCATTTTTGAATTGAATCTTTAAATTTGAGTGGATTGATTCTTTTCAATTCTTTGTATGTTCTAGATATTAGTCCTTTGAGGAACAGCAGGCTCATTTTTTTTCTCACTCTGTGGGTTGTCGTTTCACTCTGGATTGGTGATTTTTTTCTCGTTGTGCAAAAGCTTTTTAATATGATGAGGTCCTAGTTGTTGATTCTTTGTATTATTTCCTGTGTGGTTTGGGTTTTGTTCCTGAAGTCTTTGCCTACTCCTATATCCTCAAGCATCCTATCTATTCTCCCAGCAGATTTAGTGTTTTGGTTTTAATATTTAGTCCTTTGATCCACTTTGATTTTAGTTTAGTACATGGTGAGAGATATGGGTCTAGGTTAATCATCAGCATTTGAAAGCCAATTTTTCCAGCAGCACATATTAAAGTGGCTATCTTTCTTCCAGTGAAGATGTTTGTCCCCTTTGTCAAAGATAAGGTGGCTGAGTGGGTTTGGAGTTGTTTCTGCATCTTCTAATCTGTTCCATTGATCCCCAGGTCTATTTTATTTTTTTCCTCAGTACCACACTGTTTTTATAACAGTAGTACGGTAGTATAATTTCATGTCAGGGACTGTGATGCCACTTGCCTTGCCTTTGTTGTCAAGAAATGTTTTTGCTATTCAAGGTCTCTTCTAAATTCAAATAAATATTAGGAATGTTTTCTCTAGTTCTGTGAGGTATGCTAATGGTATTTTGATTGGGTGGGGTATCACTTCTGATTATACTCAAATGTGCAGCTGTGAAGAATGTGTATTCTGATGTTGTGGGGTGGAACACTCTGTAGACATCCACTAAGTACATTTGTTCACAGGTTTGGTTCAGTTCTGATGTTTCTTTGTTGACTTTTTTGTCAAGTTGATCTATTTGTGACAATGGGGTATTGAGGTCCCCCATTACAATCGTGTTAGTTCTTATTTGATTTTTCATGTCTGTTAACATTTGTTTTACATAGTTGTGTACACTGATATTTGGTGCATATATATTTATGATTTTTATCTTTTGCTCTAGGATTGTTCCCTTTACAAGGATGTAGTGGCCTTCTTTGTCTCTCTTAATAAGTCTTGGTTTGAAATCTACTTTGTCCATAAATAGTATAGCTATCCCTGCTTTTTTCTAACTTCCTGTCTCATGGAGTACTGTTTTCCATCCCTGACTTTTAATCTATGAATTTCTTTTTGAATTAAATGTGTTTCCTGTATGCAGTAAATTGTTGATCTTGTTTCTTGATCCATTCTGCCAGTTTGTTTCTTTTCATTGGTGAGTTGAAGCTATTTACATTGATGATTATATCTAAAACATATTAGCTTATCCTTGTCATGTTATTGTCCTGCTGTTGGTTCTTTGTCTTTCCTATCTGTTTAATTGCTTTCCCTGCCTGGTGGCTTCTTTCTATTGATGCTCTTGGAGTTTTGGTCGTCATTATCTCTTTCTAAAATATCCTTCAGAGCATTTTGTAGAGTTAGTTGAGTGGTCATGAATTTCTTCATTTGTTCTTTGTCATGGAAGTATCTTATTTCTCCATTGAATTTGAAAGATAGTTTTGCAGGGCACAGCAATCCAAGTTGGAAGTTGTTTGCTTTCAGAACCTGGAATACTTCAAACTCTCCTTGACTTCAGGGCTTGTGTTGAGAAGTCTTGCTGTGATTCTGATAGATTTTTATTTGTAGATGATTTTTTTCTTTTCTCTAACAACTTTGAATATTCTGTTCTTGTGGAGAATTTCTGGGATCTTGATAATTATATGCCTTGGTGTAGATTCATTTTGATCATGGCTCCTTGGAGTTCTATATGCCTCACTTATTTGGATATTAAATTCTTTTCCATGCTTAGGAAGTTTTCTACCAATACTTCGTTGAACAGGCTTTGTATGGCCTTTGCACTATCTCTGACTCTGTCATTGACCACAGTCAATCTAATATTTTCTTCTTTGCATCATCTTGCAAATGTTGGATTGATTTTTTATGGTCCCTTGCCATTTTTAAGGTAGTTTTCTTTTCATGGTAATTAACTGCATTCCTATCTTCTAGTTCAAAAATTCTGTCCTCGCCTTCATTTAATCTATTGCATATACTTTGAATGGAATTTTTAATCTCTTTGATATTTGTTTGAATCTGTTTCATCAATTTCATTTCTTTCCTATGTTGGACATTCATGTTTTCCATCATTTTCTTAATCTCCTCTTTTTTTACCTGTATCTACTCTAGATTCATTGAGCATATTTTTCATTTTGATCATCATTTCTTCTTTTACTTGAGAGATTATTTTCTCTATAATCTCATGTATTTGTGTTCTTCTGCCTCTATCATCTCAGAAAAGTCAGGTGGGTGACTTCTGATTTCCTCAATCTCATTGTCTTCTGGACTTGTCTTTGGTGGGCTGGAGTTCTGGGATTGCATTTTGCTTCTATATCTTGTAATTTTCTGTTTTTAAAATTTTATTTCATTTTCTGTGTTGATGCTTATAAATTTCTTATGGCAGATTGCTTTATCACTAGTATCAAGGTTTCTCTAGGAAATGTCTATTTTTCAGAGATGTCTTCTGGGCATATATGATTCTTGGTCTTTGTGCCTGTCCCAAGATCTTACCTTCCTAATTTATTAAGGATCAGAAGTTGCTATTTATTTGGCTCAGCACCCAGTCCTTTGATACTGGACTATAGTGGTAGTTATGGCCCCAGGCAATCTCAGTGTTGTCATACATGGGAGAACAACTAATTATAAGTAGAACATCCTGGCTAAAGTAGTACAATTACCAATAGCAACAGCTTCAAGCACAGCCTAGCAACTAACAAATTGTGCTAACTATTAATTTGATACCTTTAGCTACAGGAGTAAGATCTATAGTTTCAACATAAACCAGGAGTTTGTATGCAGTGAGTTACCCCTAAGTGGGGTGATTTTACCTTGAGGGGGATTTAAGACAGATAGGAGCCAAAACAGAGAGATAAATGAAGGGAGGAGTAATAGAGGCAAGACTGGAGGACAACAGATGATCACTCAAGGTTTGGGGAACTGGAGAAGAGGGCAGGAGAGAAAGCATGAAGGATAATGCATAAGAATATCAAAGTGAATTAGAAAGATAAGAGATGATTTTCACTCACATGAAAATATCATAACCTCAAGTGAGATGGTTGAGGAAAGAGAGGAGGATGAGTAGAACAAGACTAACATAAAGGTAAAAACTTTTAAAAAATGGACAGAAAAAGGAAATAAAACCAACAAAGAAGGAAAATAAAAATTTAGCTCAGTGGTTCTGCAGCCTGCCTTGCAAGCTCAAGGTCCCAAGTTCGATCCCCAGTACCAAATAAATAAATAAATGAAAATAAAATTCCTCTGGAATCTTCAGTTCTATTGTAGTGTCCAAGGCAGGTAGTGTTCCAGAACTGTGCTGTGTATCTCCACCAAATCTGGGGTAGAGTTTGATCTTGTGAGAGTTGGGGCTGGTCTTCAGCGAGAAACTTTTTGGATGACCCTCTCTGCCCACTCAAGCTTCTCTGTCATTGCTGTGGGACCCTCAGCCAGGGACAGCATAGGGCTAATCTCAGTCCTCTGTATGTTTGGCTCCCCTTGGTCACTTGGTCTTTGTACAGCCTCCTCTGTTTCACCCCCACTGGCATTTCTCTACCCTGTCCCCATGTGCTTGGAGAGGGACTGTGCTGCTTGGTTTTGCTGGATTTCTCATCTCCTCTCCAGGGGATTAATTAATTGCCTTGCCTAAAATTTCTAAAATCCCTTACAGATCTGCATCTTTCTCTCAAGTTACTGATTGCAACTCACTCCTTTCAGCTGCATTGTGGCAAGACAGAGAAAAGAAAAAGGGAGGGGGGTGGGGAGGAGGGTTGGCAGCCCATTCCTTGGGGAGGGAGCAGAGTTCTGGTTGGCTCTGTTTGACAGTGACAGCTAAATCTGCTGCCAGTCTGCGGTGTCCTTTGTGCTGAGAGGGGCTAAAGAGATAAGAGGCTTTCTTTCCCAAATCTATCCTGTGTGGTTTGAGTTAGCCACACCTTTTTAGTACATCAGTTTCTGGGGGAATTCCCAGTATGGTGATTCTTTCTAGGCGCTGCTAGCCTATGTTTTATTTGATCTATTACTCTCTTATTTCAGGTTGCTTTTGGCATCAGGATGTATGTCCACCCCTTTTCTTCCAATTACCTGTGTTTTTAGGTGATTTTTCTGTGAGTGGGTCCAATGTGACTCCTCCTCTTTTCAGCCATGTTGAATTCCTCTATGGTTTATATCTTGATGCTCCCTCAAAACTTCATGTGCTTATAGTTGGGCCTTTGAAGAGGTAATTGGATCATGGGGGCATGATACTCATCAGTAGGTTAGTCCAGTGTAAGTTTATAGCTAAATGTGATGTTGACAGGAGGCATGGTCATATCCTGAAAGAGTATCTCTTCTCCCTTCCTTCCTTGATCCCTCTCTGCTTCCTTGCTGCCATGGCATGAGCTATTTGTCTTCTGTGATGCCCCTCTGCCATGTTGCCTTGTCTTTGAGCCAGTGGAGTATGTACAGAAGTTTCTACAAATTGTGAGCCCAAGTAAACCTCTCCTCATTTAATTTGTGGATGTCAGGTATTGTGTCTCACCCACCATAGCCTTTTAGGGACACCTAGATGCTGAGAGAAATTTCTGACCTGATTCAACTTGAGGTCCCTTATTGCCCTTCCTAGGTGAGGTGCTCACTTACCAGTGGAACATTCCAGAGAGATCTGGTCCTGGACCAAATGATTCTGCCTGTGTTTCCTGGATCTATTATTCTGCAGTGGATCCCATCAAGGTAAAGACAAGATTGGCTGTCTGGAGGTGGGTCTCAGAAACAGACAAACTATATGGCAAAAAATAACCTAGTAAAGAAATGTAGTAAGAAGCCCACCTGTAAGACACTGGAGCCTAGAGTTTGGGGATAATTTCTCAAATGCTAGGCTCATTTCAATAGTCAGGAAGAAAAATTGAAGGGAAATTTTTCTTCCTCGTCTCTTCTTTTTTAGGTCTCGTAGGATAATATAATGTCATTCAAAAAACTTGAGAATGATTACTGTAAGATTGGGGTTCTAGTTCCAGATTTGGCTCTAACTTCTCTTTGGAATGGCTTTTAAAAAGTCAGTCTGTCTCTGCTTCCTCATCTGGAAAATGGGTTTAACTATCTCGCCAATCATTCATAGTAAGCCATGAGCAACCATATTTTTACTACAGCAGAAATTAATTCATAATTTTCCTTTTAAATTTTTAATTAATTTTATTAGTGCCCTTTAGATATACATAATCATCACAGTCATCATAGAGAATTTGTAACTGTACATAATATATCTTGATTATTCTTTTTCCCCCAATCCTCAAAGCAATCATTCATCATCTACTACATCTTGTGCATTTCACTTGATGCTTTGGAGGATACAAATGTTAAGATACATTTCCACTTTCAAAGAAGATGGACTAGTTGAGCAAGAGGAAAGTCAAGAATTTATCGCAATGGAAGCTACATGTACTCAGGGCTCGAAAGCCATTAAATAAAGGAAGTAGAGAAGAGGAGGGCTTGTAGGCAAAGGAAACTGCATGAAAAAGCATTGGGTTGTGGAAGTGCTTGGTGAATTTGAGGATCAATTAATAGGTAGCATAGCTAAAACACGGATTAGATAGGACATGTTATCTATGTCCCAAATGATTGTGAGAATTGATTCAAGTAACATACAATAGTAGGATACTTATAAATGTAAGCCATTATGATGAGGTGCTGAGGGGCACAGTGATTTGATTCCTTGCAGAGCACTGGCACACAGGGACAACTACACCTTTCTCTCGTTCCCTCTTCCTTCTTTCTTCAGGACCTGTACAGTGGTCTAGTAGGACCCTTGGCTATCTGCCGAAAAGGCACCCTGGAGTCCCATGGAGAACGAAGTGATGTGGATCGGGAATTTGCCTTGTTGTTTTTGATCTTTGATGAGAACCAGTCTTGGTATCTAGAGGAGAATGTGGCAACCTATGGACCCCAAGAACCAGGCTTTGTTAACCTACAGAATAAAACTTTCTTGGAGAGCAATAAAATGCATGGTATGTAGAAAAGAATCTACCCCCTTTTCAAAGAAATCTTCACTGATTGGTTGAATGAGGGTGTCTGATAGACACATTACTACCTACGGGAACATAATTCTGTAAATGATGGGAAGGTTGGAAGTAGAATAAGGATGAATTGGAAATATCCTTATTATTGTATATTTATAAAAACAAAGCAGATATGTGGTCCAGATTAGATCAGGTGCTCAAAAAGCAGTGTGCTAACTCTGTAAAGTTGCAATGGTGACACAAACAAATTTTTAACATATTGGAGAAGAAAAATGGACATTTATATTGCTCTATATATCTTTTCTTCAAAATTCTGAGTTTAGTCTTTCATATTATGTCATTTCATCACCATTCTAATATGGGATCTGCTTACTCAAGAGATTAAAGACAGCTTGTCTGTTTTTAAAATAGCATTTCAATTAACAGGTGGAATAATTGGGGCTGGACTGTAGCACAGTGGTACAGTAATTGCCAAGCATATGTGAGGTCCTGGGTTAAATCACCAGCACCACACACACACACAAAAATAAACATAAAAATAAACATACAAATGAATAATTGGAGAAGAAGGCCTCATGAAGTAACATACTGGCTTTGTGTCAGATACAAGGAAGAATATCTTGCTTCTTGAATAGATTTAGGGAGAAATTGTGCCTCAAAACTGCCCTTTGCTCTAGCAATCTGGGTAGCCTTTCAAAAAGAAGAGAAAGTCACAAATAAAAAGGAGCCCTTAAGTGCTGTGAAATGTATGAAGTGATCTGTCATAACCCCTTCTAGTTTAAGAGTTCTTTGATCTGAGAATGAGGTACAGCTTTGATAATAACTCTAATGGAACCCAGAAGTAGTCTCTCATTGTCCTACAGATTTTAGCTATTTCCCCTGGATGGAGAGATGAGTGATTCATATTAGAACAGATGATTCACAAAGTGCACTTTCTGGTTTCTGTCAAATGAGAGAAATAAATGGACAAAATGGAATGAGGGCAAAGTTAGGTCCTTCTAATGCAGGAGTTTGACTAATGCCCACATTCATCTTTTTGTTTATGCATCCATTCATCCAAACTTTTCAGGTTTCAGTCTACCTACTATCCACCTAACAGGTATTTTTGAGCAATTTCTGAATGCTAGCCCTAGAGATATAAAGATGAACAATTTTCAGGTATATGGGGGCAAATAAATAACATTCTTCCCTTTCCTTTCTGATTCTTAAACTGGGAAAGATGCTTCTGATCAAATGTGAGCTTTATCACTGGGATGGCTAATTGAATAGCTGAATTTAATTCTACAAGTAAATGTGTTTGCTGATACTCCTTTGTAATAGATTTCTACTTTGTCATTGATTTAGATGGACAATATCTCTTCCCTTGACATAAGCAATCTTAACCACAATGAAATAGTCAATCAATTTGCACCTCATTCTGTGACTAGGCTTATCAGAAAGGGAAACAATCCAGAAGGGGTTGAGTTGAACATGCTTAGTTTATTCTACCAGATTCACAATTAAGTGGAGATAGTCGAAGAGGAGACTATAAATGTACCTTACATTATTTCCCCTCTTGAGGAATAAAGTAGAAATTACCTTGCCTCTGTGAGAACATAAGCAGTGGGAGGAAATTGTTCTGGTCAAAGTCCTGACAGTGTGAATTAAAATAGAAATAAGTACTTTGGTGTCTTTGGAACACAGGATGCATCCTAGGAAGAGAAAGATGATGAGGCTCATGCATCAATAACATTAATTACATATCTGTGACAGGTTTAAAAATATTTATTGTAGGGTTAGGTGTATGTTGATTTTTCTGAAAAAATACAAGGAATATGTATATACTACTATAGTATATACATTGATTTTCTATTTAGTTGGTTATATGAGCTCCCATATTTTAAATGATAGCTAAATTTAGAAGGCAGTTTTTGGTATGTTTCAATAATTTGTGCTTATAGTACGGAGGAGCTCAGAGGTGCAAGAAACTGTAAGGAATGAAGGATATGGAGAAGAGGTAGAAGATCAAGAAAGTTTTTTTAAGGGAGGGGAGGATTTGCGCTTAAAAAAGATGGCCAAGCCGGGGGTTTAGCTCAGTGGTTCCGCTGCCTGCCTTGCAAGTACAAGGTCCCAAGTTCGATCGCTGGTACAAAAAAAAAAAAATTCAACCTTGTGCTCTCTTCAGCAGCACATATACTAAAAAAAGATACACAAAAAGAGACAAGACTTCTGGGAGGAAGTTTAAATACAAAAGAACACAATGAATATGCATGGAATATTTTGGAGATAGTGGTGAAATCATTCTAATTGGAATAAATGTGTTGGGTAGTGGGAGGTAGTTCTGGGAAAGTGGTGTGTGGCTATATTTTGAAAGACCTCATTGGCTGAGCTATGGAATCATGGACTTGGAAGAAGGAGCTGTTGAAACATTTTAAGTGGCAGAAAGACGTGGTCAAATTAGTTATTTAAAGAGATAACTCTGGTAATATCAACATAAAAGATAAACTGGAGAAAGATAAATGGAATAGTAATGAGGCAATTTAGGAGCCTATTGCTGTCAATAGAGATGTTAGGGGCCAGACCTAGGGTAGTTGCAAAGGTAAGTCAAAGGGAGAGATGCAAGTGGTATTTTCTTCTTTCACAGCCATCAATGGGAAGCTCTATGCCAACCTCAGGGGTCTTACCATGTACCAAGGAGAACGAGTGGCCTGGTACATGCTGGCCATGGGCCAAAATGTTGATCTACACACTGTCCATTTCCATGCAGAGAGCTTCCTCTATCAGGTAAGCTGGAAAGAGGTTTGAGTCCCTTAGGGTTGATTAAATGAGTACCTCTAATCATTGAAGAAGGAAAGAATAGCAAAGAGTTAGAATAGCTGTCTAGCATATGGAGAATTGACCTGGAAATTGTAGCCTGGCTATATACCAAGTTCAGTCATTTCTCTCTCAGTCTTGGCTTCCTCTTCTGAACATGGAAGAGAATGACTCATTTATGCAGTAAGAGGATTGAAGGAATCAGCATCATTGTCTCAGTCAAGGACTTGAGGCTCAATGAGCAGTGATTCTAAGAGCAAGGCATTTCAGAGTGACATCCCAGAATCTCTGAAAGTGTAATATCCATTTTAAGAAGAATTTCAATTCAAGGAACTACATGGAACAATAGGGAGATTTTGAAGAACATGTAGCCTTAGGAAAAGAGTTGGAGGTATCGATAGAGACTTATAGATGTAGAAGTGGTGATAAGAGTATTGGCAAAGAGGAAAAACTAAGTTGAATTCATTTCTAAAGGAAATATGTGTTCCTTCCTAGAGGTAAAGGCTTAAGCCAAATACTCCAGATTTTAGTGTGTGAAAAGATATGGAGACACTAATTTGGAGCCCCTAAAACTCACTCTCTGGTCTAGGAATCCCATGCCCCTGAGTGGACATCATAGACTTTCAGTTCCTATAAAGCTAGATGTTTGCTATGTGCTTCACTTCCTCTACCCTACCCCCAAATGATCTTGCAGAATGGACAGACCTACCGGGCAGATGTGTTGGATCTGTTTCCAGGGACCTTTGAGGTTGTGGAGATGGTGGCCAGCAACTCTGGGACATGGCTAATACACTGCCATGTGGCTGACCATGTCCATGCTGGCATGGAGACCCTCTTTACTGTCTTGTCCCAAGAAGGTAAGACCTAATTCCCCAAAATGGATCATCTTTATGTAGTCTATAGAAACCAGGTAATACCAAGAAGCTTTTTACACCTCTCCTGATCCAAGAAGAACCAGGTATTAATATAGAGCATAGCCCCCCCTCTAGGAATTCCCCCTACCAATATTTCTCATTTCTCTATTTGTGCTCTGAAGCCTACATCTCTCCTATTTATTTTAACAACTGTTGAGTTTCAGGCTGACCTAGCCTGAAACTGGTTGGGCTCAATGCCTAGTGCAAATTTGTACCCTTCGAAATAAATTTAATTTACATATAATTGTACTATTTAGAATGTAATAGAAGCATTGAAGAAATATTCTAATGGTTCTTTTTTGTGCAGGGGATAAAACCCAAGTCTTTGTACATACTAAACATGTGCTCTACTGCCGAGTCACATCCTCACTCCCTAGTGAGTCCTTTGTTTTAAAGAGAAGAAAAATAATTCCAGTGGTTACCTATTAAGTGATGTATTTAGTAAGGGTTTTAAAAGGCAGCTGTTTCTATCCCATGAAAGGTTATAAACAGATATTGGCTTTTAATTACTGCTTGTGCCAGACAGAGTTGCAACCATGGGTGGAAGAAAGTTTTCTCCTAAAATTTTTATAGGGAAGAATAATAGCTGGGCAATTTATATTCTAATTACCTTTATTCTCCACTGAGTTTGTAAAAAGGTAGACTGAGTTGGATTTTGTGTCTTCTGAGCATTAAAGGGTTAAATGTTTCACTTCTTGATCCTCTTGATCGAAGTCTAGCTCTCAGTGGTATCTCTTTTCTAAGAAGTCTGACAGTGCTTTTTGAGTCACAGAGAAATCAAAGATTTTTTTCCTCCTATGCTTTATAAACTACCATAATTTTTAGAAAAAGGAGTGGTATTGAAGTGAATATTCTGAGGTTATGAAATACTGACTTTTTATTAGAGGGACTAGAGAGTGGGAAAATGTCTTTGTTCTTTCAAACAGATTTAACAAACCAGGTTAGAGAATACAACTACACTCTTTATGAGAGAGGGTGGGGGAGGGAGAGGGAGAGGGAGAGAAAAGAGAAAGATGATTGTACCTGATTTTCTGTATCATTAGAAGAGTTTCATTCTCTGGCAACTCAGAATGCTACAATGTGAATTCCTCTTACTGCTATAAATTATTCCCTTTTACCCAGATGTTGTATTCTATCTGTTGATAAAGCAAAACTGATGTCATCAAGGTGTTAAAGATTTAGGATAACAGGTTGAATGTTATATGAGCCATGTCAAATATGAGTCATCCAAAATAAAAGAGACCATCTCCAGTACATATCATTGAGGCACTTTCATGTGTAAGAATAGTTCAAATATCCCTATGACAATGAGCCAACATGTAAATCTTAATCTATTTGTCTTTTTATGTGCTTAAATCTCATTGTGGTTTAATTTTATACTGCTCTAACCCCATATGTGTAAATAGGACAATCAGAAGGAAGAGTTGAAATCAGACATGGAAAAAGTACTAATTGTTGGAACAAAGTTCCTCATGAGACAACAGGAAATGAAAGTCAGAGCTAAAATTAAAGATTAGTGCAAGACTGAAGGAAAGTCATCCTTCTACTCTAAGAAGAGAGGACAGAAAAACTAAGGATCAGTGTGTAGGCTTGGGGAAGCATTTTGACAGACAGATAGAGAGTTTTTGCCCCATGATCTCTGTTTCTTCTGTGATGGAGCACAAAGAATCAAGAGTGAGGTAGTGTAAAGGACTTGAGGAAAGTGGGCAAAGGCTTAAAATAGCCACTCTAGTGGATGAAAAATAGAGTAATTATTGCCAGGCAGCATTGAGGATTTAGTTGAAGTTGGACCTGATCTTTCTGATTGCATGATTTTTCTCTGGAAGTATTTAGCATATCAGACAAACACAAGGGAAATACAATTACTGTGGTCTCAGTAAATTATTGCAATATTCTTGGTAAGTTAGTAATTGAAGTGATAGACCATGAAGTCTGACCTCTCTAGGAAAGGAAGAGAAGACAGATGAAGCTGGTAGTTTTAGGAGGAGTGGAAGGTTTCAGTAACTAGTGATTCAGTGAAAAAAGAATAATAAGTAATAGAGTAATAGCACAGAAATGATAGGAGGTTATTGTTATTTTTTGGATTTGTGAGGTAGAGAAATACTGGATAACAAGTTCAATGTGATCATGGGAGTGATTAGTAGAATTAGAGTGAAATTGTAAGTCATTGGAGTTAAGAGATCCAGACACTATGAGGTTTGAGTGTTGAATGGGTCAGTGCTCTTGGTGGGAACTGAGGAAGACTGAGATAGGTACTAAAGACTAAATAAAGAGAAATAATGAAGGGAACTACTAGATAACCATGGCAAGAAGTGCTTTTAAATTTTTCTAGTCAAATAATATGAGCCACAAAAGAGATAGAGCTTTACTAAAAGAAAAATAACAAGGTATTATGAGGGTGTAAATGAAAAGCAGGACCTAAGAGAAGGGCTTAGTCTCATTAAAGCAAGAGAGAAAGAAATATTCTAAGAGGTTGGATGTGTAGAGTAGATCTGACAGAGAAGGGATTTATTAAAGAAAAAGTGGGAAACAGTGAGAAAAAGACAATAATGGTCGTAGAGGAGGTATCAAGAAACATGTAAATAAAGGCAGACAGGTCACTTACATTTTAGCCTCCTGAGCCTGTGATTTTGTCCATATTCTGTGTCCCTAATCAGAATCAGATCAAAATACTAATATGGAATTTGACTGCAAAGTAGGTATCTTCATTTTCTTTCTATGTACCAAAAAGAAATTCCCAAACCAATGCCAGTCTCCCACAGGGAACCTATAGATTGGTAGGAAAAAGAACTGGAATAACATCTTGTCTTTTTCCACCAGAATACTTAAACACTGTCACTACCATCACCAAAGAGACTGCAAAAGGTAGGTACAGACTGGGGAGTTGCATGTGGAGTGTGTGTGTGTGTGTCTGTGTTTGTGTGGTCCCTCTAGCAAATGGGACTCACGTGAATAAAAGCTGGGCACAATGGTGCTAGTGTCCTGAGATTTCTGCAAGACTTCAGAAGCTAGGCAATCAAGGTTTGACTTTGCTCTGCACATATATTCTCTCTGGTTTCCACTCCCAGCCTCTGGAGTCAGGGGAAACAACCTCATCCCCAGTTAGAGACTAGTATCTTAGTCTCTTACCTGATGTGTGAGGGAGAAGAAATCTCTAAGACCTGCTGAGTTAGGCATGAAAAAATTGTACTATAGAGATGAATTCCCACAGAGAAAATGTTAACAAAGACCAGATGGTTTTCAACAGTTACTTTTATTCTTGCCTCTTTCCCTTTCATCCATGGAATACCAAACAGTTGAACTTTTGAAATTAACCATTTCTGCCATTTGAGAAAATAGAGATTATTTTTCTTTGTAACTTAGGTCCAAATTGTGCTTTAATTGTCCATCCCATTTATAACTGGACTAGGAAATTTTCAAAAGATTTATGCTAGTGAAAAAGGATATTAGAGAATATCCATTTACTCTGGGGATTTTTGGCTATGTTTGGAGAAGCTTTAGTATCTTATGAACTATTAATCAGGGACTAGGGTACATCCTGGAGAAGTTAGGGAGAGGTGAAATAAGCTTCCGTGAATTGGGCTCAGACTTCATCTCCTTCAACCTAAGCAGTCATTATTTTACCTCTAGTAAAACTTTACATGTGTACCTGTGTATCTACACACATGTGCTTCTGCATACATACACATTTTATGTGTATATTTACATGAATACATATATATATATTTTGTGTACATATACACATTCCTCATAATTTTTCACTTGTTAAAAAGGTTCTTCAGTGGGGAACAACCCTCAAAATTATTGGTATAATAAATCCCAGTAATTTTCTACATGAGAAGCTAAGAAATAGAAAATGAATTGTCATGAGAACAGTAAGTGATAGAATGTGAACTCATCCTATTTGGATGGACTTGTTTCTCCAGGAGATGACTGCAAGTGGTAACACTTTAGAGTACTCCCCATCCTTGGGTACTGATTTTTTCTCTCCCCTCATTTCAGCAGCAATCGTAAGAGACATTGGAGATGGCAACATGAAGATGCTGGGTATGCAGATCCCCATAAAACATGTTGAGATACTAACTTCTGTTTTAATTGCCATGGGCATTATCCTCCTACTTGTTGCTCTGGCTCTTGGTGGTGTGGTCTGGTACCAGCATCGGCAAAGAAAGCTACGACGCAACAGAAGATCAATCTTGGATGATAACTTCAAACTTCTTTCTCTCAAGCAGTAATAAACGGAGCCTGGAGGTATCCCCAAGAAGCACAAATAGAATGTACTCAAAGGTTTCCAGTGTGTCAATGACTAACAGCTGACTCTATTGTCAAAGGATCATGGGTGGTGGAGAGACAAAGACCAGAATCAAAATTATTTGGGTATTTCTTCATTTATTTATTTATATGGAAATTATGTGTTCTCATTATTTCTGTAGTTTCTTTGCTTCACTTTGGGATCTGGGACTGAGAATGTCCCTGCTGGTATCCTATAACACAAATTTGAACAGCTAAATTATATCATGCTCAACTCTTGGAAGATTTGAAAATTTCTATAAATGGATCCTTCTCACAAAGTTGAATCTAAGAAAAATCTCATTAATTAGATTTCTACTGTTTCCCAGGACCTAGGCAAGTTCAATTTGATGAAGATAACACACAACTAAACTAAAGACTTAGAATATAGACATGATGCTGATTTGGAGGTAGGGTGGGAATTAGGAATCTAAATTATATTTTGAGTTTCTTTGGCAATGGAGTATTCTGGAAAAGTGAGTGGATGGGTTGTTGCTGCTGTTAGTAGCTAGAACTGCTGGAGCCAGAAACACTTCATAAAGTCAGTTCTTTAGGTTCTTACACGATAGTACTGAAAGGAATGTTAAATGGCCTCTTCATGTTTGAGGAGGCAAATTCTGTCCATTAAAATACTTGTTAGGATACTCAAAGACTCAACTTGGTGATTTTGACTATCCCTGTGTCTTTTTGGAGATTCCATTTCAAACAAACCTCTCACAGAGTGGGTGTAAAGTATGGGTCTGTCTGTCTATTGTGAAGCCTGAAAATTTGTGTTGTGAAAATTGTCCCAGAGGAAACTATAAATATTGAGATGTGTATCATTTTAAAAATGGATCAATCTCATAGGTGGCAGAGATTTTCTGAATGTAAAAAAAAAATTGTCAAGAGAGATACAAGAATGAGACCAGACTCACACCTGTCCTCTGGGCAAGGAAAGTTGGTAACATATCTGCTGACCCTTTTTGCCTATGGAAATATTTGACAAGTCTACTCACTACCTCAGTATCTCTCTATAGGACAGAGTAATTCCTTCTGGTACCTTATAGCAGTATTTCTTCATCATCTGCAGGTTTAGCCTCTTTGAAACTTTGGTTAGAGAGCACAGACATGAGATGGAATAGGCAAGGGGTAAGATACTCTCCACTCTACTGCAGTATCCATAATACTGTACCAGAACAGAAGAAGCAGCATCTGGGAGAGTAACAGTAGCAGACATATGTAATACTTACACATTACACAGCATTCTAATTCCTGATTGAATTTACTTACATCAATTCTGTTAGAGTGCTCTTCTATTTTACATGTGAGAAAACAAAGGCTCATGGAGATTACATAATTTTACCCAAGACCACTCAACTAGAAGTTGAGCAGGGATTCAAGTACTCATCTATTTGACTCTGAATACCTATTCCATCCTCCTTCAGCTTGGAAATCTCTACTGATCTCCATCCTTCTTACCTATATTTATTTTTACTTTCTTGTTGCTTTAGCAACTTTTATGCTTAATTAGCTACCCCTTGAAGATCAAGTATAAAAACCCACAGAGTTGATGTTCAGCTTCATTACAGTGAAAGTTAAAGGGGGAAACAAGCCAGAAACTATCATTCATCTTGTTTTACCATAGTAAGTGAGTTTTACTAGAAAGTTTTATTAGAAACTTCAAAAACAGTGGTGGTGGAGTAGGGTTTGGATTGCTAGCATTTAGGCCATTGTGGAATCAATGCACCTGGCAGCAGCAGAACCCTTTGACCAGTTGTTAATGTGGAAGTTAATGCAAACCAAGTGTACTCTGAGGATGCCAGTCTTAATAGTTTTAATTTACATGCATATAGGAGGGCCTTACCCTGGTCTCAATTATGAATCTAAGAGACTAGGAGTGATAATATGATGAGGTTCACTTTTTTCTGAGTGTGTAATCCTGCTTCAGATAAAGGAGTGGAAGCTCAGAGGCTGTGTATTTCAGAAAGGGATATATTTTTGTGCTGAGTTTGTCTCAAGTGTGGATGGAAGGAAATGCTTTTTATAGGTAAGTGGCACTGCTATCCATTGAATGGCTCAAGCTAGAAATTCCCAGCATCAATATATCAGTGTGTCATGTTTTATTATCTCTGAAATGTCATTGTTTCTGTCTCCATTGCTATCACTCCAGTTTATGTGGACAGATATAATAGACTCCTGCTTATTTTTCTCAATTTCTCTGCAGCTCCTTACAATTGATTTTCTACATAGAAAAGTGGTGATTCAAATATAAATTAAGCTTCTAGTTTGAACAAGTCATCAAAGATTTATCTCTCTCTGAAAATAAACACACCTTGGAAATAATGTTAGAGGCAACAATAGAATCATTCAAAAAGAAAGAGGAAGGCAGACTAGATAGGGACACTATAGCTGAAAAAGTAAAATGTCAACTTGGCATCATAGGACACAACCAAATCACAGCATACTTACATTGTAGAAGTCAGAAACACAATCTTGAAAATAGCCAAAACCCCCCACAACATATTACCTATGTGGGAACATTAATTGAATGACAGTGGGGATCTGTCTGAAACTCTGGAGGCCAGAAGGAAGCAGAATGAATTTTTCAAGTGATAAAACAAAAAGGACTATGAATCACAAGTTCTATATCCAATAAAGCTGGATATTCTAAGAGAATTTGTTGCTATCAGATCTATCTCTAAAGAATTTCTAAAATACATTTAAATGGAAAGGACATGGTAAAAGAAAGGAACAGATGGATCTTGAAGTTTGCCAGTGAGGAAGAGTGTGAAGGATCTTTCACAAACAATAAATAGTACCCTTGTCCTAGCAAACCAGAGATCACCTAGAATTCATTAGGGCCCAGCCAGGAAGGAGTGTCTATGACATGTTTGAGAGGCTAGGGAATTCCTGGGCATTTCTGGGTTAAATCAGTAGTACAGAGGGTTGCAGAAATGATGGGAATCATAGGCAGCAAGAATGCAAATAGAATGTGCCCTAATTATAGCCTTAAATGCTTCATAACAAACTCTTCCCCTGAACACAGGAAAAACAATGATAGGAATTCTGAGGTTAGGAACAAGGCTTTCAGGAGGTGAGTGAATGAAATTTAAGGTGAAGGATCAGCCAAGGATCTGTTAGAGGGAGACTGAAGAAGTAAAGTTCTGCCTCATCTTAATTCATTAGCTATTTAATAATCTTTCCCTGGCCTTTCCACATTAAATATTTTGATGTTCACAGTTTTCCCCTTTAAGTGCTGACAGAATACATAGTTTGCCCTTGAAATATATAGGTTCCTTCCAGGCATAGTGGTACACACCTATAATCCCAGCACTCAGGAGGCTAAGGCATGAGGATCACCATATGTTCAAGGCCAACCAGGACTACATAGTGAGTTCAAGGCCAGCTTGAACTACATAACAAGACCCTATTTGAGTAATAAAATCAAAAACAGCACCAGCAAATTCTGATGAGAATATGGAGCAAGAATAACTCATATTCATTGCAAATGGGAAAGCAATGTGGTACAGCCATTTGGGAAAACAGTTTGTTAGTTTCTTACAAAACAAAACATGCACTTAAACCATATGATCTGGCAGTTATGCTTCCCGGTATTTACTCATGAGTTGATAATTTATTTCCAAACAAAAACCCACACAAGCATATTTTACAGCAGCTTCATTCATAATTGGTAGAATTTGGAAGTAACAAATATTTCTTCAGTAGGTGTATGGCTAAGTAAACTGGTATATTCAGGGAAATGGAATATTATTCAGCACTATAAAAAAGGAACTATAATAAAAGATATGGAAGAAACATAAATACATATTACCATGTGAAGGAAGTCAATTTGAAAGATTACTTACTTTAATGATTCTATTATGCTCTGCAAAATTCAAAAGTATTGAGTCAAGGAAAAGAACAGTGGTTACTAGTGGTTAGAGGGTAAAGACAGATAAATAGGCAGAGCACAGAGGATTTTTAAGTCATTAAAACTATTCTGTAAGAGCCATACATGGTGGGGTCAACCTGTAATCCCTGAACTCTGGAAGACTTCAGCAGGAGTATTTCAAGTTGAAGCCTAGGCTGAGCAACTTAGTGAAAACTTGTCTCAAAAATAAAAGGGGCAGGGAGTGTAGTTCAGGGTCAGTGTCCTGGGTTTGATCTCCAGTACCAAATGCATACACACACATGCACACACACATACACAAAGTCAAAAGGAAAGAATGCTCTTCTATAAAATACTATAACTGTGGATGTATGTCACGATAAGTTTGTCAAAACCCACAGACTATAAAACATTAAGAATGAACTTTGGCTCTTCCCGCCAAGACCAGCCAGCATAAGCAGGTGAGACAAGCAGTGTGAAGCTGGCCGGCCTTCCCGGGCCCTGCCCACACCACGGTGAGGTCCCAGGAGCAGCTTGGAGCCCCACCCCAATCTGGTGCTCTGCTTAGCCTCACGGGCGCCTCCAAGGCCCAGTCCCCCCCCGCCCCGTGCCTCTGGCCTCCTGGCTCTTCTGCTACCTGGTCCCACACTACAGAGGCACAGGGGATTATAAAGGCCCATGTCCTGAGCGCCACAAGATAGAGCAGAAGTTAATAACAGAAAGAGCGCTTCTCAGGCTGCTCGATGAAATTGGAAGCTTAGTGGAAAAATAAAGAGAATCTCTACAATAAAGGCACACCAGACCACCGTACTTGGTAAGTTCGAGGGATCATCACCTGGGACCACTACTTCCCATCAAAACCTGCACTATCTTCAGGGGAAGGGCAACTCCAGCCTACAGCAGAACTTTGCAGAGTTCAACCCTGCAGGAGGACAGGGAGTTCAACTTGAGACTAGCAGCCAGAAATCTGCCTGAATCTAACAGGTCTGCTGCTGCCTTGCTGAGACTCATTGACTTCTATGTGCACACGGATTCCTACATTGCCTACTGAGACAGCAGAGACATACCCTGAAGGAGTCCCATAATTTTCATTTTTTCCTAATTGCAAAAAAGAAAAAAAATTTTTCTCTTATTTTTAATTCTTAATTTTTACTTTTTTCTACTCTTTTCAAATTTTTGCTTTTCTTTCTTTTATCTTTTCTTTCTCACTCTCTCTCTCTCTCTCTCACTTGTTATCTCACTGTCCCACATTGTTCTTCACCTCCCCATTTGTTCCTTTCTGCACTTAATTCAGATTTCCCCTTTATTTTTATTTCATCTCTTTTTCTTCTGTTGATTATCATTAGGTTTAAAGGAAAGTAAATACAGTATCTAGCCTCCCTGTTGCTGTAAGGTGATTCTATTCACATTTTT